AATAACTGTCATGTACCTGCAGTGTGCGTCATCAGGGGAACAGTATCAGACTGGGACTCTACTACATATGAAATGACTCAGACCAGATCCGCGACAGTAAACTTCAGGACATCGTTAGTTACAAGTCGAACATTTGGACTCCTGGTGTTTAATTCTGACACTCGCTGATATTTAACGGTCTGGAAGTCACCCTGCAGGTTACAATCAATGCTGAGGGAAACCCAGTGAGATGCTGGAGGAAGGAAGCAGCAGCATGTGATGAGTTTGGAGTGAGACCAGCTTCAGTGATCTGACCTGTCATGTCATCTCCTCACCGCTCAGTACCGGAGCTCACACAGTCAATATCTTCTACCCTCACAGCAGAACGACGCTGAAAGCAACGGAAACCTTCTGGTACCTGGAGAACTTCATACAGAACAGCTCTCGTCTTACCTTGAACAGGTGATGTCTCTGCTCCTCTGACATCATCAGCTGATGGCTGTCCGTTACCATGGCGTCCATGTCCATCAGCCAATCCCAGAGCTCCTGGTACTCGGCCTCAAACTCCTGCAGGCTGCAGAGAGATGATTGGGTTGAATTACGGCAGTAATTAAATTCTCTGTTTGCTGTTATTCGTATTGTCTTTCCTGCATGTCCCGCTCGGTTATTGTTCCGTGTATTATTGTCGTGTTGTTTGTCCTGCGGCGCTGCAGAAACATGCATCTTGTTATGTTGATAAAGCAGGAGGAGGAAAATACAAACTGAAATGAGGGAGACAGATAAAGTCTGACTGAGACACAAACAAAACACTTTGACTGTTGATTCCAACCAGAACGTATCCGTAACGTACTCCTCTGCTCTCTGTGATACACTGAGAACAGATTCACCTGCGACGTGACCTCTGACCCGTTAAACAGGTGAACCAGACCAGCAGCACATGAACAGGTCTGTCCAGAGAGCCAAAGATTAACCAGAGGCTTGAAACCAGAACAGACATCTAACCAAAGATGAACCTTTCTGTATGTTTATGATCCAGCAGGTCGGATCCTGTTTCCAGAAGACCTCAAACTGATCTATGAAGAACCAAAGTTTAAGATTGTTTCTATGACAAAGATTCATGTTTGAATGGTTCCATCAGAGAACATCCAGAGTTCTGGGAGTCACTGGAGACTCAGACAGGATGGACCTGGTCTGGGTAAGTAGAAGCAGACTTTAGTTCACGACTGGAAAAACAGCAAAGAACCACAAAGGAAACCAGTTTACAGTCGTTTGCGTCTCTGTTTAGCTCCATTAGTAACTGATTCCCTCAGAGTGGATCCTGTCTACAGGTGGTTCTGATAGGTTCTGGAGGTAAAACGGTCCAGGGTACCGATGATTGTTTCTATGACTTTATGTCATAGACATTAACCTGGTACCACTATGAGACATCCCATAATACTAATGCTACCAGCTGCTGGCAGAGGACATGACATCTGTGGACTTCAAGGACCTGGAACTCTGGAACATTCACAGTCTGAAGGTAGAGCTCTGGTCAGTAGATAAAGGTTCTGCAGATCCAGAACCAGATGTTCTGAGGAGGTCTAACAGGTTTTCAGCAGAACGTTCGTGTTAAACCTCAGAAACGTTCCAAAGCTGCCCTCAGAGTGAATCACAGTCACGTCGTGATTCTGCAGCTCGTCAGAGAGAAACTCGGTTATGTTCTGCACTTCTTATTCCTGTGTGTGTTTATTGGCGGATGTGTGTGTGTTTGTCGTGTTCGTGTCGACGGCGTGTTGTGTGTTTGCATGTGCGTGTCGCCGTGGAAACGCCGTGGGCCTGACAGAGCTGTCAAACTGTCTGCGGCGGCGGCGGCGACCGGAGGATTCCAAACAATTTGAGCGCTAATGTTGAGAAACATGTTGGCGATTCCCAGCGAGACCGAAACCCCCGAATATATAAATAATAAAGACACACACCTGAACAAAACGCTGACAGTAATGTGTGTGTTTGAGCTGCTGGCTGCATTAATATTTAATCAGATCCTGAGTGGAGGAGGAGGAGGGAGGAGGAGGGAGGAGGAGGCTCAGAGGTGAAGACGGAGAGGAGAAGATGTGGGAGGCAGTGTGATGAGAGGATGAAGGCTGCGTGGTGGAGGAGGAGGAGATGTGACCACACGACCCACATGAAACAACCAAACACACTCATGAGCTTCAGATCTGAGAGCTGTACATGAATCTGAGCATCATTTGGTACCAGAACATGTGTGTTGGTGCCAGGGTTTTAGGTGTGTTTGGTATTTCTGGTTCTGCTCAGTTCTGTTCAGCTGCTTCATCATTCAGACTCAAATCGTTCATCCTGCAGCTCGTTGTCCGTCTGAAAAATGAAACGAGTGAAATGTAACAGAACAGAGGGTTGGAGGAACAATCCATCTGTACGTCTGATAGTAAACCGGATTAACACAAAACAGATCTGAATCTGTTCAGCTTCAGTTTATTCTCTTTGTGAAACACTCATGTGGAATAAATGCTTCTGATGAAGAGAACTGGGGCTTTTAAGAGCAGCAGAGTCCAGATCCTGCAGGTGTCCAGGTGTGTTGTTGGTTCTCCTAGAACACGTTCTTTAAAGCTCACAAACACTCGGTTTCCTCAGACTGTTCATCGCTGCAGCGTCTCTTCCGTCACTTGAACCGAGCATTCATCAGCAGCATCTGATTCTCCACGTTTCATTCAGACGGTCCGACTGAACTGTGACCAGCAGTCGTGTTTTCAGGTGAACTGCAGGCGGTGTGTCTCCAGAGCTGAGAGGAGACGAGGACGGAAACTAAACACAAATATAAAAAGTTCAACATCTGCAGGACGAGGAGACGACATGAGCTCCAGAGTTGAACATCTGGAAACATGCTGGCTCTCCTCCTACATGTTCTGCAGGACTTTAACCTCAGTGAAGAAAAACCAGATCCTAACAGAAACACCTGGAGACTGCTCAGAGTTCAGAGCTCACCGGTTTCTTTGCTTTCTAGTAAATCCACATTATTCTGTCTTTACTTTCTAAACACGTCCTTATTTCCCAACCTGTGGTCGTGTTCGTCTTCTTCGTCCGTCCGTTCCTCATCAGTTACACAGATTAAAACCTTCCCACATGTCCCACCTCCTCGCTGCTCCTCAGACTCGTTCGTCCCTTCGGTTTCTTCTCTCCTCGTGTCCTCGGCTGCGAGTGATTCTCGATGAAATAGAGACTGAGCATGAAGAAGAAAGCGCGGCGCCGGCTGCTCCCTGGAGGCGGCGTTGCTCATTATGCTGCAGCGGCCCTTTACTGCCTCAGACAGATGAAGCAGATACAACAGATTGTTTTCTCTTGTCGCGTTTCCACTCGTCTCCTCCGTCTCCGTCTTGTTCTCACACTAATGTTAACTAAATGCTTTGTAAAACAGGATCTCTGGGGGGCGGAAGACGAGAAAACAGACAAATCGGAGAGGAAGCGACGACGCTGCGATCGACACCAGGACGGTTCCGCGGCGTTTGAAGTGTCAGGTTGGTTTCTGTCTCGCTGACGGAGGCGTGGGAGCAGCACAGCCTTCATGACATTTAGTCACTGGAGGAAATTCGAATTATAGGAATCTATTATTCATTTCCAGCTCGTCATAACTGCAGTCAACACTGAGAGAGTAAAATGGAGCCGGGTTCATGTGAACGTTGGAGAAACAAGCCGACTCCTGCTGAGAAGGAGGAAGAAGGCCGGAGACCTCAGCGAACCTCCATCACACACTGACAGCTTCAACAGGAGCAGTGTTCATCACGTGACTGTCCTTCTGTATCAATTTTTATTTAACCTTTATTTAACCAGGAAAGACCCACTGAGATTAAAAACCTCTTTGACAAGGGCGTCCTGGCCAAGAGGCAGGTTTACAGTGGTTCATATCAAACATGTGGGATTCTGCACATTCAGGTGGTTTATGTTCCGATTCCTGCTCAGCCTGCAGCTCTCCTCCAACACCTCCGTACCCATAAGCTGCTGTTGGAATATAGAACCACAATACAGTTTATAGAAAGTATAATGACCCCCATCGTCAGACTCAAGCATCGGACCTTTGCTGCTGCCGCCCTCTGGAGCGCCCGCCCTCAGCGCATCGGACCACCAGACTTTCTGCAGACCTTCAGATCAAACCCATCTGCTGAACTGGCGTCTCCCCCCGACCTGCCGTCACACCTCAACGTCACTGTCCTGTGAGGCGTCTCTGAGTTTATTAGAAAGCGTGACTATAGAACGAATGTATTGTTGTTGTTGTTATAATTACTATTATTATTATTATTATTATTATTATTATTATTATTATTATTTTTATTGTTACTATTAGGACGAGAAGGGAGGAAGAGGAAGGAGGAGAGGAAGAGGAATGCTGAGGAAATGGAGGAAGGAGAAGAACACAAAAAGAAAAGAGAGGGAGAAGCAGGAAAAGAAGTTAGAAAGAAAGACCAGATGTAAAGTGAAGGACGGAGAGAGAGGAAGAGGAATGAAAGGTTGAATGAGTCATAGCTTCAGCTTCACCTTTCAGTCGGTGGATTTATGAGGTGATTCAGCCTTAATACGTTCATCTACACACACGTTCATCGTGAACCGTAGAACATTGACGCTCACATTCATTCACTCATCTTCTCATTTCTCCGTTTGTCATTCATTCATCAAGTCATTCTGTCACTCACTAATTCATTCATGGATTCATGTGTTCACATGTTGGCCTTTTGCAGCTGCAGAAATGGAAATGATTGAAAAAGTGTGAATGAATGAATGAATGAATGAATGAATGAATGAATGAATGAATGAATGAATGAGTGAACGAGTGAACGAGTGAATGAGTGAGTGAATGTCTCATCTGTGTATATTTTATGTCTCTATATCATCTTATTCTGGATATTTGGAGTAAAAACACCAATAAAATCTACAAACTTTAAAAATGAATCATTTATTGATTAGTTGCTAAAAATTTTCTCCCATGAGAAAAACAGAAAAATCAAAATTGCAGATACAGAAAAACAATGAGACTTTGAGCTTCTTGTTTTTTCAGGAACGAAAAACATTAATTAAAAAAGCAGTTTCCCTGCTATTTAAATTTCATTTTGGTTCTAAATTAGAATTCAGATATTTTGTGTGCGATCAGTAAATAATTCAGTCTGACCTTCATTTTCTTTACAACTGAACCAAAACCAGAAATCTCCACTGAGCTGAACTCGCAGCAGCAACACAAAAACATGCAACATCCAATTAATACCAAACTCATCACACACACGGCTGCACCGGACGCACACACAAATGTAAATGCAGCAGCAGCAGCAGCAGCAGGATGAACGTATGAATAACCAATTAGTGTCCGACACATCGGATGTAAATGAGTGAAATATTAGTTTGGGCCTCGCAGGACGACAAACACAAGCAGCAACACAATGAGCCAGAGTTTCCTTCAAATACAACTCTGATCTGTGTGTGTCTGTGTGTGTGTGTGTGTGTGTGTGTGTGTGTGTGTGTGTGCCACATGTAAGTCACCATGGCGACACACTGACAACACCCACAAAGTCTGCACAACTCAACTCAACACAACAACACAACATAACACAACAACACAACATAACACAACAACACAATAACAACATAACACAACAACACAACAATACAGCAACAACACCACACAACAATGCAAAATAACACAACAACACAACATAACAAAACAACACAACAACACAAAAACAACACAAAACAAAAAATAACATAACACAAGATCACAACAAAACAACACAACACAACATAACACAACACAATAACACAGCAACACAACAACACAATAACAACACAACACAACAATACAGCAACAACACCACACAACAACACAACATAACACAACAACACAACATAACACAACAAAACAACACAATATAACACAAGAACACAACACAACAGCAACACAAAAACACAACATAACATCACACAAGAACACAACACAACAACACAACACAACAACACAACATAACACAACACAATAACACAACAACATAACACAACAACACAACCAACACAACACAACAACACAACATAACACAAAAACACAACAACAACACAATAACAACACCACACAACAACACAATACAACAGAACACAACAACACAACATAACAACAAAACAACACAACAATAAAATATAACACAACACAAAAACACAACATAACGTAACACAACAACACAACAAAACAACATAACACAACAAAACCACAACAACACAACACAACACAACACAACACAACAAACACAACAATACGACTCAACACAACACAACAACACGCTGCACTCACAGGGTTCATTCATTTTCTTCAGCTGTGGTTTGATTTGCATTCACAAGACTTAGTGTATGCAGTTGTAAGGGTGTGTGTGTGTGTGTGTGTGTGTGTGTGTGTGTGTGTGTGTGTGTGTGTGAGTGATAACCAGGATGAGGCTCCTCAAAGTCGGGATGAAACGCCGACAGGCAGCGAGTCCAAAGACGAGTCTGGTCACACCAGATTACTGCTGTTAACACTCACACCCTGAGTGTGCGTGATTACACTCAACTGTGTGTGTGTGTGTGTGTGTGTGTCTCTGTGTCACATGTTATTGTGTTAAGTCTCCATCTTGTTGTGCGTCTCCTGCTACCAGACAACAATAACCTGCATTATTTCATACAAAACCAACCACATCAGACCAAAGCTCCTCCAGAACCTCCTCAGAACATCTGGTTCTGGATCTGCAGAACCTTTATCTACTGACCAGAGTTCTACCATCAGACTGTGAATGTTCCAGAGTTCCAGGTCCTTGAAGTCCACAGAAGAGGGTCCAGATGGATCACTTTAATGGACTTTTTCCATCATTTCTAAGCCTCAGAACTTCATCAGTACAGCAGATAGACACATGACATTTAGGAGGAAGAACACATCTGGGTTCTGGTAGAACCTGACACCAGATCAGGTCTACATCCATCCAGGTGTCTCAGTCTGAACACTGGACCTGGTTCTGTTCATGTCCTCTGTCAGCAGCTGGTAGCATCAGTATTATGGGATGTCTCATAGTGGTACCAATTTAATGTCTATGACATAGAGTCATAGAAACAATCACTGGTACCCTGGATGTGGTTCTGGTTCTGATCATTCACCAGAGGAAACTGTACAAAGTGCATTCTGGGTAAACTTTCCAGGCTCATATCAGCATGTGTGATGGTGGTTGGTCAGAACCAGTTCTAGATGATGGCAGGACCGTTTTACCTCCAGAACCTACCAGAACCATCTACAGACAGGATTGAACATCGTGATACTTTAACACTTGAAAATTAAAATCTGGGCTTTTATTTCCTGAAAATATCTGATGAGGGTTTTAGGTTTTGTTGAGCCGGCTAACACAAACCCAGCCTGGATATGTTAGACTTTGGCTACGACTGTGGTCTTTGTTGTGTTTACCTGTTGTTCTTGGCCAGCTGGCTGCAGTGCCTCCTGCTGGTGGACAAGGGGTACTGCAGGCTGCTCAGTTTAATGGCCATCTGCTCCAGAGCGACGCGCTGAGCTTCACACTGACTGGAGATCAGTTCCACCTGCAAGAACCAGAGCAGGACATGAGCTACTGTTTACAGACGTACCAACGTAGACGCATGAACATGAAGTTG